GAATCACAGAGTTAGACTGATATAGTTAAACTGATCAGTTACAATCACAGAGTTCGACTGATAAGGTTAGACTGATTATTTAACAATCAAGAGTTAACTAATAGACTTTTTTAGACTGATAGGAGTATACATCTAGTTAAAACTGATAGAAAAATGTTAGATATATAGTTACAATCAAGAGTTTAGACGGATATAGTTTAGAGCTGGATATATTTCATCAGAAGTTATCTGATATAGTTAAGACTGTATATATTACATCATAAGTTAGACTGATGATTTAGACGATACGAGTTAGACCCGATAAAGTTACAATCATAGAGTTAGACTGATAGAGTTAGACTGGATCGAGTTTACAATCATAGAGTAACTGATATATTTTACGACTGATATAGTTGTACAAATCACAGAGTTAGACTGCTATAGTTAGACTGATATAGTTACAATCACAGAGTTAGACTGATATAGTTAGACTGATATAGTTACAATCATAGAGTTAGACTAATAGAGTTAGACTGATAGAGTTAGACAGCTAGTTAAACTGATAGAGTTAGACGATATATACACTCATAGCGTTAGGACTGATATAGTAGACTGATATAGTACAATCACATAGTTTAGACTGATCTAGTTTAGACTGTTATATTTACAATCACAGAGTTGACTGATATAGTTAGACTGATATAGTTTACAACCTAGAGTTAGACTGATAGGTTAGACTGATAGATTAGACAGCTAGTTTAGAACTGATATAGTCTACTGATAGTTACCATCATAGAGTTAGACTGATATAGTTAGACTGATATAGTTAGACTGATATAGTTAGACTGATAGAGTTTAGAAGAACTGAGAGAGTTGACTGTTAATTACAATCATAGAGTTAGACTGATATAGTTAGACTGATATAGTTACAATCACAGAGTTAGACTGATATAGTTAGACTGATATAGTTACAATCACAGAGTTAGACTGATATAGTTAGACTGATATAGTTACAATCATAGAGTTAGACTGATAGAGTTAGACTGATAGAGTTAGACAGCTAGTTAGACTGATAGAGTTAGACTGATATAGTTACAATCATAGAGTTAGACTGATATAGTTAGACTGATATAGTTAGACTGATATAGTTACAATCATAGAGTTAGACTGATAGAGTTAGACTGATAGAGTTACAATCATAGAGTTAGAAGTATACTTATATATTTCAATCATAGAGTTTAGACTGTATGTTAGACTGTATAGTTAACTGTATATAGTTACAATCATAGACAGACTTATAGAGTTTAGACTATAGAGTTACAATTCATGAGTTTTAGACTGATATGTTACAATCATAGGGTTAGACGATATTTGTATACTGATCTAGTTATACTGATATAGTTACATCAATATAGTTAGACTGATATAGTTTAACGGATAGCGTTACAATCATAGAGTTAAAGACGATATATGTTTAGACTGATTATAGTTTAGACCGCTAAAGTTCATCACGAGATTAGACTGATATATTAGACTGATCTAGTTTACAATCACGCCAGTTAGACTGATAGAGTTGACGATAATAGTTACAATCATAGAGTTTAGACTGATAGAGTTAGACTGATAGAGTTAGACTGATCTGTTTAGACTGATAATTTACATCAGAGAGTTTAGACTGATAGAGTTAGACTGATATGTTAGAACAGCTAGTTAGACTGCTAGAGTTAGACAGATATAGGTTACAATCAATAGAGTTGACTGTATAGTTAACGATATAGTTAAAATCACATAGAGTTAGACTGAATATTTAACCTGATATAGTTACATCATAGAGTTAACTGATAGAGTTGACTGATAGAGTTTGACCGATAAGTTTACATCATAGATTAGAACTGATAGAGTTAGACTGATAGAGTTACAATCATAGAGTTAGACTGATAGAGTTAGACTGATAGAGTTAGACTGATATCGTTAGACCGATAATGTTACAATCATAGAGTTAGACTGATAGTTAGACTGATGAGTTGACTGATTGTTAGACCGATAAAGTTTACAATCATAGAGTTAGACTGAAGTTAGACTGATAGAGTAGACAAGCTAGTTAGAAGACTGATTAGTAGACCGATAAATTGTACAATCTAGAGTTATACTGATAGATTTGACTGATAGAGTTTTGACCTGATACATAAGTTAGAACCGATAAAGTTACAATCATAAGTTAGACTGATAGTGTTAGACAGCTAGTTAGACTGATAGAGTTAGACTGATAGAGTTATACTGATATAGTTAGACCGATAAAGTTACAATCATAGAGTTAGACTGATAGAGTTAGACCGATAAAGTTACAATCATAGAGTTAGACTGATATAGTTAGACTGATATAGTTACAATCATAGAGTTAGACTGATATAGTTACAATCATAGAGTTAGAACGGATGAGTTAGACTGATTTTTTGACTGATATCGTTAACCGATAAAGTTACAATTCATGAGTTTATACTGATAGAGTTAGACTGATAGTGTTAGACTGATAGAGTTAGACTGATAGTGTTAGACTGATAAAGTTAGACTGATAGAGTTAGACTGATAGAGTTAGACTGATAGAGTTAGACTGATAGTTAGACTGATATAGTTAGACCGATAAAGTTACAATCATAGAGTTAGACTGATGATTTGACTGATAGAGTTTAGACTGATCAGTTGACTGATATGTTTAGACTGATCTAGTTACAACAATAGTTGACTGATAGAGTTAGACCGATAAGTTACAATCTAGATTAGAACTGATGAGTTAGACTGATAGAGTGTAGACCGATAAAGTTTCCAATCCCAGAGTTAGACTTATAATAGTAACTGATATAGTTAGACTTATATAGTTACAATCATATAGTTGACTGATGTGATAGGTAGACGATAATAGTTACAATCACAGATTTACTGATATAGTTAGACTGATATAGTTACAATCAATAGTAGAGTTAGACTGATATAGTTTAGACTGATATAGTTTACAACAATCATAGAGTGTTAGCACTGATATAAGTTTTATGGGACTGATATAGTTTACAATCATAGCGTTAGACTGTAGAGTTAGACTGATAGTTAGACTGATATAGTTAGACCGATAAGTTACAATCATAGAGTTAGACTGATAGAGTTAGACTGATAGAGTTAGACCGATAAAGTTACAATCATAGAGTTAGACTGATAGAGTTAGACTGATAGAGTTACAATCATAGAGTTAGACTGATAGAGTTAGACCGATAAAGTTACAATCATAGAGTTAGACTGATATAGTTAGACTGATATAGTTACAATCATAGAGTTAGACTGATAGAGTTAGACTGATAGTTAGACTGATATAGTTAGACCGATAAAGTTACAATCATAGAGTTAGACTGATAGAGTTAGACTGATAGAGTTAGACCGATAATGTTACACATCATAGAGTTTTAGAACTTTATAGAGTTTAGACTGATGGAGTGACAATCATAGAGTTAGACTGATAGAGTTAGACTGATAGAGTTAGACTGATAAAGTTAGACAGCTAGTTAGACTGATAAAGTTAGACTGATAGAGTTAGACTGATAGAGTTCGACAGCTAGTTAGACTGATAGAGTTAGACTGATAGAGTTAGACAGCTAGTTAGACTGATAGAGTTAGACTGTTAGAGTTAGACAGCTAGTTAGACTGATAGAGTTAGACTGATAGAGTTAGACTGATAGAGTTAGACAGCTAGTTAGCCTGATAGAGTTAGACAGCTAGTTAGACTGATAGAGTTAGACTGATAGTGTTAGACAGCTAGTTAGACTGATAGTGTTAGACTGATAGAGTTAGACTGATAGAGTTAGACTGATAGGTTAGACTGTATTTGGTTTAGACTGATAGAGTTAACTGATAGAGTTTAGACTTAGGAGTTTAAGACAGCTAGTTAGACTGATAGTGTTAGACTGATAGAGTTAGACTGATAGAGTTAGACTGATAGAGTTAGACAGCTAGTTAGACTGATAGAGTTAGACTGATAGTGTTAGACTGATAGAGTTAGACTGATAGTGTAGACTGATAGAGTTAGACTGATAGTGTTAGACTGATAGAGTTAGACTGATAGAGTTAGACTATAGAGTTAGACAGCTAGTTAGACTGATAGAGTTAGACGATGTGTTTAGACTGATAAGTTAGACTGATATTAGACTGATCAGAGTTAGACAGCTCGTTAGAGACGATAGAGTTAGCTGATAGGTTCGACGATAAAGTTAACATAGAGTTAACTGATATATTCGACAGCTATTAGTACTTATAGTGTTAACTGATTTGTTAGACACTGATAGAGTTAGGACTGATAAAGTTAGACTGATGATTAGACGCTAAGTAGACTGATAGAGTTAGAACTGTCAGTTAACTGATAGAGTTAGACTGATAAAGTTAGACAGCTAGTTAGACTGATAAAGTTAGACTGATAGAGTTAGACTGATAAAGTTAGACTGAATAATTAGCAATCATAGAGGTTAGCAGCTAGTAGACTGATAGAGTTAGACTGATAGAGTTAGACTGATAGAGTTAGACTGATAGAGTTAGACAGCTAGTTAGACTCATAGTGTTAGACTGATAGTGTTAGACTGATAGAGTTAGACTGATAAAGTTAGACTGATAGAGTTAGACAGCTAGTTAGACTGATAGAGTTAACTTGATAGAGTTCACAGCAGTTTATACTCATCGTGTTAGACTGATTAGTGTTAGACTGATATGAGTTTAGACTGATAAAGGTAGACTGAGAGAGTTAGAACAGTCTCATAGACTGTAGAGTAGACTGAATAGAGTTTTAGACTGATGAGGTTCGACAGCTAGTTAGACTGATTACAGTTCTACTGAAGAGTTGGCTGATAGAGTTAGACAGCTAGTTGACTGTAAGTTAGACTGATAAGAGTTAGACCAACCCCCTGGAAAAAATAAGAGTTAGACAGCTAGTTAGACTGATAAAGTTAGACTGATAGAGTTAGACTGATAGAGTTAGACTGATAGAGTTAGACAGATAAAGTTAGTCTGATGAACCTTCGGTTGATGGTCGCTGTTCCATCCGTAATAAGCCCTTCTCCTGTCGGCGTGGCGACTGTGGAGCGTGGGCGTGGTTCTGGGCATAGCTCAGTGTGTTGCCGTGGGGACTGGATCTGGGCGGAATCTGTCTGGTCGGTGAGCGGACCGCTGATGGTCCGACGGCGATTCACGACGTCGTCATCATCAGACCCCAGACCACCTGACCCGGCCTGGCGCCGCAGCGCCGCTAGACTCACCTGGAGGATCATTCACACATTACACCACATGTGATCATACAACATTCACATTAGGATCATACACACATTACACATGAGGATCATACACACATTACACATGAGGATCATACACACATTACACATGAGGATCATACACACATTACACATGAGGATCATACACACATTACACATTAGATCATCCACATTAATCACATTAGTATCATCCCACACATTACAACATGAGGACATACACACATTAACAATGAGGATCATACACACATTACACATGAAGATCATACACACATTACACATGAGGATCATACACACATTACACATGAGGATCATACACACATTACACATGAGGATCATACACACATTACACATGAGGATCATACACACATTACACATGAGGATCATACACACATTACACATGAGGATCATACACACATTACACATGAGATCATAACACACATTACAACATGAAGGATTCACACATTACACATGAGATCATACACAACATGACACATGATGATCATACACACATTACACATAGGATCAACACACATTCCAACACATGAGGATCATACACACATTAAAACACGAGGACCCATACACACATTAAAACCACGCGGGACATACACACATTACACATAGATCATAAAACACATTACCCCTGAGGATCATACACACATTACACATGAGGATCATACACACATTACACACGCGGATCATACACACATTACACACGAGGATCATACACACATTACACACGAGGATCATACACACATTACACATGAGGATCATACACACATTACACATGAGGATCATACACACATTACACATGAGGATCATACACACATTACACATGAGGATCATACACACATTACACACGAGGATCATACACACATTACACACGAGGATCATACACACATTACACACGAGGATCATACACACATTACACACGAGATCATACACACATTACACATGGGGGGGTGGGTCGGGGTGCTTTCACCCTTTGGCCGGGATTGGCGTAGGGGGGGGGGGGGTCCGTGGTGGTTTTTCAACCCTGTTGGGCGGATTGGGTGGGGTGGTTGGGGGTCCGTGGGTGGCTTTTCACCCTTTGGGCCGGGATTGGCTTGGGGTGGGGGGTCCGTGGGTGGCTTTCACCCTGTGGGCCGGGATTGGCGTAGGGGGTGGGTGGGGGGGGTCCGTGGGTGGCTTTTCACCCTGTTGGGCCGGGATTGGCGTAGGGGGGGGGGGGTCCGTGGGTGGCTTTTCACCCTGTTGGGCCGGGATTGGCGTAGGGGGTGGGGGGGGTCCGTGGGTGGCTTTTAAACCCTGTTGGGCCGGGATTGGCGTAGGGGGTGGGGGGGGGTCCGGGGGTGGCTTTTCACCTGTTGGGCTGGGATTGGCGTAGGGGGTGAGGGGGGGGGGGGGTCCGTGGGTGGCTTTTCACCTGTGGGCTGGGATTGGGTAGGGTGAGGGGGGGGGGGGTGGTCGTGGGTGGCTTTTCACCCTGTTGGGCCGGGATTGGCGTAGGGGGGGGGGGGGGGGGGGGGGGGGGTCCGGGGTGGTTTTCACCCTGTTGGGCCGGGATTGGCGTAGGGGGGGGGGTGGTCCGGGGTTTGGCTTTTCACCATGTTGGGCCGGGATTGGCGTAGGGGGTGGGGGGGGGGGGGGTTTCCGTGGGTGGCTTTTTCACCCTGTTGGGCCCGGGATTGGCGAGGGGTGAGGGGGGGGGGGGGGGTCCGTGGTGGCTTTTCCCCCTGTTTGGGGCCGGGATTGGCGTAGGGGTGGTGTGGGGGGGTCCGTGGTGGTTTTTTCAACCCTGTTTTGGGGATTCCTCATGTCTTACTCATTGGTGGTAGGAAGAAGTTTGATCCAAATCAGATGTTGGGTCCTATATTAATGAATATTATATGAACCCTATGAATTAAAGTGGCCCAATTACGGGTGACAATCAATTTAGCTTCATTTCTCAGAGATCAAATGATATATCAGCAAAATAACGTTTCAGGAATGGTTATTGTATCTATATGACATGGAGGGTGTTGAAATCCTCCTGCCCTTGTGGTTGTGGAGGTGGAATGACCCACGTTGTACTGGAAACACAAAGACATCTTAAACACACACATGTTACATGTTAAACATTATACGCACACACACAACACACACAACACACACACACAAACACACATTATATTATATACCCCCCAGACAGACCTGTGGAGGGTTGAGGTAGCTGCCGCTTCCCCTCATGGTTCTGGGCAGGGTCTTGGCCCCTCCCCTCCTGGTCCAACTCCTCCCATCGATGTCTCCAACATGGCGGCGATGCTCCGGACGCTCCCCCCCGCGCCCTCTGACCTCACCAGCCCCCCCTCCCCCCTCCTCCTCCTTCCTCCTCCTCTCTGCCAGCCCTCCACAGTCGCTGGCTCGCCTCTCCCTGAACCCTTCTACCCCCAGCAGGCCCCCCAGCCCCTCCCCTAGCCCGTCGCCCCCGGAGATGGAGGAACACGACCGTTTGGGCGGAGTCGGGGGCCTGCCTTTCCTCCTGGGCCGCAGCGTGACTGACGATTGGCTGCGGTTGACAGTCGCGTCGTTGGGGTCGGAGCTCTGAGTCGAGCTGCTGCGGCAGACCGTGGCGTATCTAGGGGCGAAGTCTGGAACCGAGAGGGCGTCGGCTTCGGACCCCGAGTAGCCAATCAGGCTCTGAGTTCGCCGACGCTCCTCCTCCATTGGCAGACAGAGTAAAGGAACAGACACGCCCCCTTCTTGGACGGGCGAATCAGCTGGTGGGGGCTGGGTGGAGGGGTGGGATCGAGCCTTGGCGGAGGAGGGGTGGGTCTTGGTGGGAGTGTGAGGTGGTGAGCCAATCCCTGGCCGGGGTTTTTGTGGGGGGGGCCTCCTGACCCCTCCCGTAGAGGAATGGGGTAGAGGGGGGAGGAGTGGAGGAGGAAGGAGGGGTGGAGGAGGAAGGAGGGGTAGAAGGCTGAGAACTTCCCTCTCCTCTCTGGAACTTCCTCAGCCTCCTCACTGCTAACATTATCTTCTTCTGGTGGCCTGGGGAGAGGAGAGAGAAGAAGAGGGGAGAGAGGGAAAAGAGAGAGAGAAAAGGAGAAAAGAGAGAGAGACGGAAGAGAGAGACGAGAAGAGAGAAAGGAGGAAAGACATTCCCCAAAAAATAAAAGAAAGTTTCCCCCTCTTTTTCGTTTAGAGGCGACTAGGTATGACAAAATTTTGGAGACTTAGAGGTCGGCGGGTGGGGGCAGGTAGGGGGGTTTTTTGGGTCTTTAGGGTTTTCCCTCTTCTCTTCTCTTCTCCCTCTCTCTCTCCCCGCTTCGTCCCTCCCTTTCCTCTCCCCTCTCTCTCTCTCTCTCTCTCTCGCCCTCTCTCTCTCTCTCTCTCGCTCCTCTCTCTCTCTGCTCTCTCTCTCCTCTCTCCTCTCTTTTCTTTTTTCTCTTCTCTCTCCTCTCCCCTTTTCGTTTCCTTTGTTTATTGCTGGACCCTTGAATGCTTTAATACTGGGACAACCTTAATACTTCTGATCATCTGTCTCTTTTCTCTCCCTCCTCTCTCTCTCTCTGTCCATGGATCTGGAAACCTTTTAAGGGTTTCAATCACTCTTGACTGGAATGTGATTGGTGGATTCAGATGAAGTGTGTGTCCTACCCAGCTTGGTGATGCCGATCTCCTTCAGGTCCTCCAACGATCTCAGGATAATCATGTTGTCGTATCCATTCTGCACCAGAACCTGGTAGTACTTGCTCAGCCCGATCGCTGACAACCACTCTCCCAGGCTGGCCTACAAAACACACACCCAAAAGTTTCATATGTATTTAGTATGATTACTAAAATATAGAATATTGGCCCAGAACAACCCCTCTCCCAGGCTAGCCTACACAAACACACACAAAATGTGTTCATATGTATTTAGTATGATTACTAAAATATAGAATATTGGCCCAGAATATCCTCATGGGTGCATCCCTAATGTCAAGGTCTAAAACCGACATGGTGATAATGGACCTATCTATTTAGAAATACAGGATGCTGCTATCCAGTATCCACTATCTACTATCTAATCAGGAGCCTGCTATCCAGTATCCACTACTATTTTGAAGGAAAAAAGGGCGAAAAACCCCCCCCGAAGGGACGGTGGGGAGGAAAAATTAGGGACAAAACCCCAAAAAAGGTAAGAAGATGAATAAAGGGGGGGAAAAAAAAAGAGAAAAAAACAAAGTTTAAGGTTTTTAAGGGGGGGAACAATAAGAAAGGAGAAAAAGGGGGACCCAAAGTAAGGTTTCCCTGGTTAATGGCCCTTTTTTTTAAAATACAGGTTCCTTATCCCCCTTCTACCCCCTTCAAGCCCCCTTCCTTCCCTTTCTCTATCTTCCCCTCTCCGTTCCCTCTTTTCAAATTTGATTCTCCTTCCCTTCTCTTTAAATCGGGATTTTGCTATAGCCCTTTTCTACTAAAATCAATCCTTATCCCCCTTTCTTCTTCTACTAACCTATCCATATCTATTTTAAATCGGGGTGACCCGATATTTTCCAAACAGTTGTACTTCCAGTTCCCAACGATACTAATAGGATTCTATCCATTCCACACTTTTTAACGGCTCACCAGATCCCTACCAAATCAAAGGGTGCTCACCAACCACATCTCTTTTTATAGGATCATTATCCTTTAAACACTTTTTCGGGTGCTACACCAACCATTTCAAAATAGAGGCCAAAAAGAAACCCCAATTCCAATGTCCTTTCCATTATTTAAACAACAGGGTTTTCCTACCCCTTTAAAAAAAGGGGTTTCCTTTTCACACAAAAAGGGGGGTTACTACCCAGTATCCCTATTACTATCTAATAGGATGCCTACCTATCCACTATCTCTATCAATCGATGCAACCAGTATCCCTTCTACATCTAATCGGGATATGCATCCATTCCATATCTCATCTAATCGGATGCTCTACCCTTTCCCCCTATTAAACTATCAGGATGCCCTATCCTACCCCTTTTACTATCTAACAGGATGCTGCTACCAGTATCCACTATCTACATTAAAGGATCCATCCAACCCCCAAATTTTTTTAAAAATTTTCAAACCCAAATTATCCATATCCTACCCAAAGGCTACTATCCAATCCATTTTATACTAATAAGTTTTAAATCCCCTAAAATTTGGATGCTGCTATCCGTATCCACTTCTAAAAGGGGGCCTTCCCCCCTTCCCTAATCGGATTCTATCCAGTCCACTTTTATCGGGTTCATTTTTAAAATCTTTTGGGCTGCATCCAGTACCCACTATCTACTTTAACAGGAGCTACTATCCAGACCCAATTACTATTAATCAGGAGTTTAAATCCGTACCCCATATCTACTATCTAATCAGTGTGCATCCAGTATCCACTATCTACAAACAAATGGAGCTGCATCCAGTATCCCTATCTACTACTAATCGGATGCGCATCAGTACCCACTATCTACATCAACGGATGCTCTACCCAGACCACTATCTACTATCTAACAGGGCTACTACCAGTATCCACTATCTACTATCTAATCAGGATGCTGCTATCCAGTTCCACTATCTACTATCTAATCAGGATGCTCTATCCAGTATCCACTCTATATCTAATTTCAGGATGCTGCTATCAGTATCCACTATTACTATCTAATCAGGATGCTACTATCCAGTATCCACTATCTACTATCAAATCAGGATGTTTGCTATCCAGTACCCACTATCTAATCAGAAATTTGTGCTATCCAGTATCCACTATTACTACCTAATCAGGGAGCTACTATTCCAGTATCCACTATCTACTATCTAATCAGGATGCTGCTATCCAGTATCCACTATCTACTATCTAATCAGGATGATTATCCAGTATCCACTATCTACTATCTAATCAGGATGCTGCTATCCAGTATCCACTATCTACTATCTAATCAGGATGCTGCTATCCAGTATCCACTATCTACTATCTAATCAGGATGCTGCTATCCAGTATCCACTATCTACTATCTAATCAGGATGCGCTATCCAGATCCACTATCTACTATCTAATCAGGATGCTGCTATCCAGTATCCACTATCTACTATCTAATCAGGATGCTCTATCCAACTTTTACTATCTAATCAGGATGTGCTATCCAGTATCATATCTACTATCTAATCAGGATGCTGTATCCAGTATCCACTATCTACTATCTAATTCAGGATGTGCTATCCAGTATCCCTATCTACTATCTAATCAGGATGCTGCTATCCAGTATCCACTATCTACTATCGAATCAGGATGCTGCTATCCAGTAACTACTATCTAATCAGGATGCTACACCATGCAGATTTTAAATGAGTGTCTTGAGACATGTCTTGAAGACACACATCAAATGTCTCAAGACATGGCATGGAGTCTTCAAAATGTGTCTTAAGATATCTTGGGGCATCTAAACGTCTTGGGTCATTGTGTCTCAAGACAAAGGTGATGGCTAGGAATGTGTGTGTGTTTGTGTGTGTTTTTTGTGTGTGTTCTTACAGGTTTGTGGTCAGGTAGCCAGTCACCAGACGGCAGTTTGCTGATCTCTGATAACATCTTCTTACGATGGCCTGGTTTAGTTACCCCGATTGCTGTCAGGTCCTACACAAGAAAACAAAAAACACACAAACTAAAACAAAAGAAAAAGGGTGGGGGACTCCAGTTTCCTAAAGGATCATCAAATCGCCCCTCCCCCGGGCTGTATATTCTCCCCTTCTCCCCTTTTCCCCTCCTCTTCTCTCCCCTCTCTTCTATCTTCCTTCTCTCTCTCTCTCTCTCTTCCTCTCTCTCTTATCTTCTCTCCCTACTCCCACCACATCATTGATGTACATGAATAAACATTAGCTTTATGCAAATGAAGCGGTAAATAATAGTGATGCGTGATTGGCTGACAACTCAGAGTGGGTCAGAGGTCACAGAGACAGGAGGGTCATGATGACATCACCAGGTCAGGGGTCAGGCGGAGGCCATGCCCCCACAGATAGGACACACAGGATGCCGGGGTAGAGGTTGGGGTGACACGTGGTGTAGGGATCAGGGGTCAGAGGTCATCTTACCTCGGGGGTCATGTGGCCTATGGTGTCTAGGTCATAACCGGCGGTGAGGAGGTGAGTGGTGTAGAACTGCAGCTGACACTCAGTCAACCAGGTCACTACCGCCTCACTCTAGAACACAGAACACTCTCATTGTTCTAGAACACTCTAGAACACACACTCAGCTCTAGAACACTCTAGAACACACACTCAGTTCTAGAACACCAGCATTCTCAGAGCTCTTCAACCGTACACTCTCATCGTTCTAGAACACTGAATATTCTCAGCGCTCTAGAACATAGAACCCAGAGTTCTAGAACAGGGTGAAGGCGGGAGAGGGAGTCCAGAGGGGCTCAGTGATTGGTTGTTAGGGTCAGACTGACATGACATCCTTTACCACCAGGGGCAGTAGAGATGCCATCTAACCAGGGGAGAACAACTGCCCCCTCTCATTGAAGCCACGGAGGTTCAAGGCAGACATTGATAGTAGACAACAGGATCCCCAATTATAGTGAATGGAAAAATGACAATCTTCGTGCTCAATCTTCATGTAAAAAATATTTTACAATCGAAGACAATCATGGTACCAATAATTGCTTCTAATACACCAGATGTATGTCCTTGAACCGATTATTACAAAATTGAACACAGAACAAGTTCTAAGGATAATTGAGTTGCTAACGGCAGCCTGCAGTACCCTGGTTGGCCTTCAACTGGAGTCACTCAATGAGAGGGGGCAGCACTGAGCTAGCCTGCAACGTCACTTCCTGGATCAGGTCAAACTGCGCATGTTATGTCTCCATGAGATTCTATTTTAGGAAGCTAAAAAAAAAAAACTTATTGGGCTTCAAATGCGTTACTGAGTCCTTCACACAGGAATGAATGGTGTCACGTGATCGATAGCTTTGTCCATTCTTTTGACAGTCATTGCGTCTAACTACATCTTTCAGATGGGACGTTAAACGAGTGTCCTGACTCTCTGTGGTCACTAAAGATCCCGTGGCTCTTATCGTAAGAGTAGGGGTGTTAACCCCGGTGTCCTGACTCTCTGTGGTCACTAAAGATCCCGTGGCTCTTATGGTAAGAGTAGGGGTGTTAACCCCGGTGTCCTGGAGTCATTCTCAATCTGGCCCTCATACCATCATGGCCACCTAATCATCCCCAGCGTCCAATTGGCCCATTCCTCCCCCCTCCCTCTCCCCTGTAACTATTCCCCAGGTCGTTGCTGTAAATGAGAATGTGTTCTAAGTCAACTTAGCCATAGAACCCTCCCTAATATAACTGTCATGACATCCTTCACCACCGGGGAGCAGTAGAGATGCCATCTAACTGCAGCCATAGAACACTCCTAGTATAACGTCATGACATCCTTCACCACAGGGGGAGCAGTAGAGATGCCATCTAACTACAGCCATATAGAACACTCCCCTAATATAACTGTCATGACATCCTTCACCACCGGGGAGCAGTAGAGATGCCATCTAACTGCAGCCATAGAACACTCCCTAGTATAACTGTCATGACATCCTTCACCACCGGGGAGCAGTAGAGATGCCCATCTTATGACAGTCATAGAACCCTCCCTAATATAACCTGTCATGACATCCTTCACCACCGGGGAAGCAGTAGAGATGCCATCTAACTACAGCCATAGCACTCCCTAATATAACTGTCATGACATCCTTCACCACCGGGGGAGCAGTAGAGATGCCATCTAACCTGCAGTCATAGAACACTCCCTAATATAACTGTCATGACATCCTTCACCACCGGGGAGCAGTAGAGATGCCATCTAACTGCAGTCCATAGAACACTCCCTAATATAACTGTCATGACATCCTTCACCACCGGGGAGCAGTAGAGATGCCATCTAACTGCAGCCATAGAACACTCCCTAATATAACTGTCATGACATCCTTCACCACCGGGGAGCAGTAGAGATGCCATCTAACTGCAGCCATAGAACACTCCCTAATATAACTGTCATGACATCCTTCACCACCGGGGAGCAGTAGAGATGCCATCTAACTGCAGCCATAGAACACTCCCTAATATAACTGTCATGACATCCTTCACCACCGGGGAGCAGTAGAGATGCCATCTAACTGCAGCCATAGAACCCTCCCTAATATAACTGTCATGACATCCTTCACCACCGGGGAGCAGTAGAGATGCCATCTAACTGCAGCCATAGAACCCTCCCTAATATAACTGTCATGACATCCTTCACCACCGGGGAGCAGTAGAGATGCCATCTAACTGCAGTCATAGAACCCTCCCTAATATAACTGTCATGACATCCTTCACCACGGGGAGCAGTAGAGATGCCATCTAACTGCAGTCATAGAACCCTCCCTAATATAACTGTCATGACATCCTTCACCACCGGGAGCAGTAGAGATGCCATCTAACTGCAGTCCATAGAACCCTCCCTAATATAACTGTCATGACAATCCTTCACCACGGGGAGCAGTAGAGATGCCATTTAACTACCGTCATAGAACATCCCTAATATAACTGGTCATGACAGCCTTCACCACCGGGGAGCAGTAGAGATGCCATCTTATGACAGTCCATAGAACACTCCCTAATATAACTGTCATGCATCCTTCACCACCGGAGAGCAGTAGAGATGCCATCTTATGACATCATAGAACCCTCCCTAATATACTGTCATGACATCCTTCACCACCGGGGGGGGGGGGGGAAGCAGTATGAGTATGATCCATCTAATAGCAGTCATAGAACACCCCTCTATAAACTGTCATGACATCCTTCACCACCGGGGAGCAGTAGAAATGCCATCTAACTGCAGTCATAGAACCTCCCTAATAACTGTCATGACATCCTTCACCACCGGGGCTAAAGAATGCCATCTAACTTCAGCCATAGAACCCTCCTAGTATAAGTCAGAATCCTACCACGGACTAGATGCCAACCAGTAGACCTCCAGGAAACGATCATGACATCTCACACGGTAGCAGTAAGACATCAACTGCAGCCAAGAACCCTCCTATATAACTGTCAGACATCCTTCACCACCGGGAGCATAAAGATGCCATCTAACTGCAGCCATAGAACCCTCCTAATAAACGTATGACATCCTTCACCACCGGGAGCAGTAAATGCCACTAACGCAGCCATAGAACACCCCTAATATAACTGTCATACATCCTTCACCACCGGGGACTGTAAATGCATCACTGCACCAATAGAACACCTCCTAAACTGTCATGACATCCTTCACACCGGGAGCAGTAAATGCCATCTAACTGCAGCCATAAACCCTCCCTATATCAACTGTCATGACTCCTTCACCACCGGGGAGCAGTAGAGATGCCATCTAACTGCAGCATAGAACCCTCCCTAGTATAACTGTCATGACATCCTTCACCACCGGGGAGCAGTAGAGATGCCATCTAACTGCAGTCATAGAACACTCCCTAATATAACTGTCATGACATCCTTCACCCACGGGGAGCAGTTAGAGATGCCATCTAACTGCAGCCATAGACCCTCCCTAATATAACGGTCATGACATCCTTCCCCCCCGGGGGAGCATAGGGGATGCCATCAAAACTAAAGCCATAAAAACCCCTCCCTTAATTTTAAATGTAAAGGACATCCTTCACCACCGGGGGGAAGTGGGGGAGGGGGCCATCAAACCGAAAGCCAAAAACCCCCCCTAGTAAAAGCCCAAACCCCTCCCCGGGCACCCAGGGTTGGGGGTTTCCCCCACTGGGGCCCCACGTCCTGAAAACCCAACGCCAGCAAAAGAAAAACTTTTCCAAAGCCACTAAATGAGGAAAGGGAAAGCTTCAGGAAGCATGAACAATAAACTGAAACAGCAAAAAAAATCCCCCCTCTGGTGAACAACACACCCCGCACTAAAATACACACACGCAACAAAACACAAACGCAAAAAACACACGCCAAACAACACCACACACACAACACCCCAAAAGCAAAAAAAAAAATAACAAAAAACCCCCCAAAAACAAAAAAAACCCAAAAACAAAAAAAACGAAAATGAAAAAAAACCAAACGGTCAAAAAAACCAACAAAAAAACCATAAAACACACCCCCCCCCCAAAAACACCCCGCCCCTAAAAAAAAACCCCCCCCCCCTCCCCCCAACCCCCCCCCCCTTCCCCCCCCCCCCCCCCCAAAAAACCCCCCCCCCTCCCTCCCCCCCCGCCCCCCCCGCCAAACCCCACACCCGAAAAACCACAAAAAAAAAAAAAGGCCACCCACACACTCACCACCCCCCCAACCAAACACACCCACAACCTCCCTTCCCCTTGCCTCTCCCCTTCCGATAAAAGGGGACCCCGCTTTTCTAGGAGGACAACCGATGGCCCTTTTTAGCGGCAGCTAAAAAAACCAAGACAGTAGTCATCAGACAGTCAGCAGTTAGATAGTCAGTCAATAGTCAGTCAATTAAAAAAACATTAAAGAAAGGGTTTTCCGAAAGCCCGTAAGATAGTCTTTCAGTTTAGTGGGGCATTTGGGAAAGTCAAAAAAAGACAGTCAGATTTTCAGCCGGGAATATTTCCTTCAGTTGGGAAGGGGCCATCAGACCCCCAGAAAAGTCAGATAGTCAGTAGTTAAAAGTCAGTAAGATAGCCAGCCCAGTTAGAAAGTCAGTCATCGCCCGTCAGTCAAAAAAGTCGGGTCAGCAGAAAGTCACCCAGATGGGTCATTTTCATTTAAAAAGTCAGTCAAATAGTCAGTCAGTTAAAAAGCCCGGTCAGATGGGCCGCCCAATTGAAATTTCATCAGTCAGACTCATAAAAAAGTCGGCAGTTTAGTCGTAAGTTAGAAAGTCGTCATTTCGGGTTAGTTTTAGTCAGCCCAAAAAGTCATCACCCAGAAAGTCGTCAGTAGTAAAATTCAAGTGGTCATTCAGAAATTTGGGTCAGAAGTCAGACAGCCCAAGTAAAGAAAGTCAGAAAAGCCCAAGGTCAGTTAGTTCGTCCAAAAAGGGTCAGTCAAATAGTCGGGGGGTCGGGTTAAAAGGGAAAGGGGCAAGAAAGGAAAGAAAGGGGGGTTTAAAAAAGATAAAAAAAAAAGAAAAAACAAAAAAGGGGAAAACAGGGTAAAGTAAAAGGAAAAGGACGAAAAGGCAAGGTCAGAAAAGTCGTCAGTTAAAATCGTCAACAGTAAACCCTTTCAGATTGTCGCCCGTTAGAAAGCCCAGCAGTTAGAAAGTAAGTCAGTCAGACAGTAAAGCCCTTTAAAAAGTCAGCCCGATAGCCCAAAACGTTAGAACGGTCAGTTAGAAAGTAAGTCGGGGACAGTCGGGTTTTTTTAAAAAAGTATTTCCAATAGCCAGAAAATTTTTAGCCGTCATCAAAAAAAGTCAGTCAGTTAGTCGTCAGATAAAAGTCTCAACAGTCATTTTCCTTTTGGGAAATCAGTCATTTAAAACGTCATTCACCCAGACATTTCTTTCATTTTAGAAAGCGGGTCAATAGTCAGAAGTTTAGACAGTCATCAGAAAGTCAGTCAAAAATTTCAATAGTCAGTCAGATAGTAAAAATAGTCAGTCTTTGGGAAAACCAGTCGATAGTCAGTGAGTCAGAAAGTCATCAGTAAAGCCCGACAGTCATTTCAGAAAGTCAGCCAGTCAGTCAGTCGCAGTCAGCCCAAAAAATCCCCAACATTTCAGCAGACGTCGGGTCAGCGGGCATCAAAAGTCATTTCAAATAGCCCAGTATTAGAAAGTAAGTCAGATAGTCAGACATTTTTAGACAGCCCCAGCCCAAAAAGTCATCAGTCAAAAAGTCAGTCAAATAGTCAGTCAGCTAAAAAATTCGGCCCAGACAGTCAGTCAGTTAAAAAGTCAGTCAAAATAGTCAGTCAATTAAAAAGTCAGCCCATAAAACCCCCAGAGTTCTAAAAAAGGGGTTTGAAGGCGGGAGGGGGGGGCCCAGAGGGGCTCAGTGATTGGTTTTAGGGTCAGACTGACATAAAAAAACTTTCCTTTACCCCCAAAGGGGCAGTAGAGTCCCATCTAACCGGGGGAGAACAACTGCCCCCTCTCTTTGAACCCAGGAGGTTAAAGGCAACTTTGTAGTAGCCAACGGGTTCCCCAATTTAAGTAAAATAAAAAAAAGGGACAATCTTTCTTTCTAAATTTCTTTAAAAAAAATATTTTAAAAACAAAGACAATCAGGGGTACCAAAATTGTTCTAATACACCAGATGAAGCCCTTTGAACGATTATTAAAAAAAGGGAACCCCCGGGAAAAAAGGGTTTAAAGGAAAATTTGATTTGCTAACGGCCCAGCCTGCAGACCCGGGATGGCCTTCAACTGGAGTAACTCAAGGAGGGGGGGCCCAAAGCACGGTAGCCTGCAAACGTCACTTTCCTGGATCGGGGGTCAAATTTGCGCATGTTTTGTCCCCATGGGGTTTCCCTTTTTGGGAAAGTTTAAAAAAAACGAATTTTGGGCCCAAACCCGTTACGGGGGCCTTTTTAAAACGGGAAATTTTGAATGGTTTCCACGTGACGAAAAAGCTTTTGTCCTTTTTCTTTTGACTCATTCCCTTTAAACTAAAATCTTTAGATGGGTTTTTAAAAACGAGGGCCTGACTCCTGTGGTCACTAAAATCCCGGGCTTTTAAAAAGATTTAGGGGTTTTAACCCGGGTTTGTCCTGACTCTCGGGTTGGTCCTAAAGACCCCGGGGCTCTTAGGGGAAAAAAGTGGGGGTTGTTCCCCCGGGTGTCCTGCCCTCTCTGGGGTTCACTAAAGACCCCCGGGGTCTTTTTGAAAGAGTGGGGGTTTAAACCCCGGGTTTTGGCCTGGATTTCATTCTCAAGGGGGCCCCCTAATACCATCATGGCCACCTAATAATCCCCCCCCGGCCCAATTCCCCCCTCCTCCCCCCTCCCTCTCCCCTGAAAAATTTTCCCCCGGTCTTGCTGTAAATGAAAATTTTTTTTCGGGTCAACACCCCCTAATAAACTGTCATGACACCCTTTTCACCACCGGGGACAGTAGGAGCCATCTTATGACAGTCATAAAAACACTCCCTAAAATAACTGTCGGGGACTTTTCCTTCCCCCACCGGGGAGCAGTAAAAGAGCCATCAAAAACTGCACCCCTTAAAAAACACTCCCAAATAACTTTTCAACATCCTTCACCCCGGGGGAGCATTAGAAAATCCCACTAACGGGAAAGCCATAGAACCCTCCCAAATTTAAAACGGGCCCATGACATCCTTCCCCAAAGGGGGAGAAATTTAGAATGCCATCAAACTGCACCCATAAAACCCCTCCCAAATTAATTCTGACATCCTTCAAAAAAGGGGGAGCATTAGAGATGCCATCTAACCCCATCATAGAACCCCCCCTAAAAAACTGCCCTGACCCTTTCACCACCGGGACAGTAGAAAATTGGCCATCTAACTGGGGCAATAAAACCCCCCCAAAAATAACTGTCATGACACCCTTCCCACCCGGAGTCGGGTAGAGATCCCAATCTAACTGCAGTCATAGAACACTCCCTAATATAACGTCATGAAAACCTTTCCCCCCGGAGCAGTAGAGGGGCCATCTAATTTCGGGCCCATAAAAACATTTCCCAAATAAAAACTGTCATAACCTTCACCACCGGGGAGCATTAAAAAATGCCATCAAACGCAGCCATAGAAAACTCCCTAGTATAACTGTCATGACATCCTTCCCACCCCCGGGGAGCAGTAAGATGCCATCTAACTCCCAGCCATAGAACACTCCCTAATAAAACTGTCATGAAACCCCTTCCCCACCGGGGGAGCAGTAGAGATCCCCTCAAACTGCAGCCATAGAACCCTCCCTAATATAACTGTCATGACACCCTTTCCCCAACCGGGGACAGTAAGAATTTCCATTAACTGCCGCCCCTAAAAAACCACTCCCTAATTAACTGTCATACATCCTTCACCACCGGGGAGCAGTAGAGATGCCATCTAACTGAAACCCCTTAGAACCCCCCCTAGTAAAAGCCCAAACCCCTAACAACAGCACTTGGAGGTTCCCTGTACACGTCCTGAGAAAAACCCCAGAAACAGAACACATTCCAACCCACTGAATGAGGGGAAAACTTCAGGAAGCATAAAAATAAACGGGAAACAGCAAAAAAAAAACTTCTTTTGGGAGAAAACACACACACGCACTAACATACACCACGCCCAACCCACAAACCACACCCCAAGCCACAAAACATAAAACACCACACACCAAAAACTTACACACACACACACACACACACAAAACCACACACCCCACAAACGCAAAAAACCCCAACACACACACAAAACACCCCACCACCACGAAAAACACACCAAACACCAAAACAACCCCCTTCCACCCCTTGCCTTCCATTCAAAGGACCTTTTTTTGGCCAAAAAAAAAAAAGGAGGAAACCAGTTTTCCCTTTTAAATTTAGCTAAAAAAAAAAAGGCATCAGTCGGCCCGGGTCAGTCATTTAAAAATTCAGTCGATGGGCCCCGACATTTTAGACAGTCAGTCAAAAGAAAACTTCAATAGTCTTAAATTTTCAGTCATTGAAAATCAGTCAAAGTCCAAAAAGACATTCAAAAGTCGGGTAAGTAGTCATCAGTTGAAAGTCAGAAAACAGTCAATGGGCGGGTGGGGAAAAGTCGAAAGTTGAAGTCAGTCAACAGTCAGTAATCAGAATTTAATTCAGTTAAAATTCAGTCAGATGTCATTTCATTTTTGAAAGTCATCATCGCCCCAGTCAGTCAAAAGTCAACGTCAGAAAGTCAGTCGTCAAAAAAGTCAGCCCCAGCCCAGAAAGTCCCATTGGGATAGTCAGTGGTTTAGAAAGTCCGTCAGACAGTCAGTAAGTGGGATTTCATTCGGGTTAAAAAGTCAGTCAGAAGTCAGCATTTAAAAAGTCAGCCCAGTCAGACAGGCAGTCAAAAAGTAGACAGTCGAAAGTCAGTCAGTCAAAAATTCGTAAGTCAGAAAGTCACCCAATAGTCAGTCATTTAAAAGTCAGTCAGATATTCAGTCAAAAAAAGTCAGCCCATTTCAGACAGTCAGTCAAAAAGTCGTCAGAAAAGTCAGTCTTTAAAAGTCAGTCGGGATAGCAGTCAGTTAAAAAGTCATTCAGTTTTAGATATCAGTCAAAAAAGTCTTCAGTCAGAAAGTCTCAGTCGGGCAGTCAGTCGGGAAAGTCATTTCATTCACCCAGGACAGTCAGTCAAAAAGGGTCAGCCCTTCGTAAACAGTCAGTCAGAATCAGTCAAATGTCATTTCATTTAAAAATTTCAGTATTTTAGAAAGTCGTCAATATTTCAACTTTGGGGGACAGTCGTCAAAAAGGCAAAAAGAAAAGCCCAGATAGTCAGTCATTAAAAGTCGGGCACCCCAACCCGTCAGTCAGTTAAAAGTCAGACATAGAGGGTCAGTTAGAAAGTCAGTCAGAAAAATTCAGTCGTTGAAAGTCATTTTTCAGATATTTCAGTTTTTTAACCAGCCCAAGAAAAGAAAGTCAAAAAGTACCGATAGCCCGTCAGAAGAAAGTCATTTCGACAGTCGTCAGTTAGAAAGTCAGTCAGTTAAAGTCATTTCAGATAAAAATCAAAGGACAGTCGATAGCAGATGTAGTCATTTTAGAAAAATCAGTCAGATGCCAGCAGTCAGAAAGTCAGCCCCTTCAGTCAAAACATTTTTTTAAAAAGTCAAAGCTGTCAGTTTGCCCAGTCAGATAGCCCATTCAGTTAAAAAGGGCCGCGGGGAAGCCCAAAAGACAGTCAGTAGTCAGTCAGTTAAAAAAGCCCAGTAAGGGCCCAGTCATCAGATGGTCACCCTTAAAAAAGCAGCCATTTAAAGAAAGCCCTAGTCAGACAGTATTCAGTTAAAAAGCCCGTCAGTAGTCGGGGAAAAATTAGACAGTGTCAGCAAGCATTTCAAAATCAGATAGCGGGTAAGATATCAGATATTTCATCTTTAAAAGTCGGTCAGATGGGCGGGTCGGGTCAGAAAGTCAGTCGGGTTCCGCCCAGACAGCCCATTCAGAAAAGTAATTTCAGTCAAAAGTAAAGTAGTTCAGTCTCAACAGTCAGTCAAAAATTCAGTCGTCAGTCAACGGGTCAGTCAGACGTCAGTCAGAAAGCCCGTAAAATGGGAGTCATTTTTAAAAAGTCAGTCAGTTTAGTCAGACATTTTAACAGCAGTCGGGAAATTCGGGTCAGTCGTCGGGAAAGTAAAGTAAAATTTGGGGTCAGTCAGTTAAAAAATTCAGTCAGATAGTCAGTATTTAGAAAGTCAGTCGTATAAATAAATTTAGAAAGCCCAGTCAGCGACAGTCAAAAAAAAATGTCAGTCAGATACCCCAGCAGTTAAAAAATTTTCAGTCAGATATTTCATTCAGTTAGAAAGTCGTCATTCAGTTAGATAGCCCTTTCCGGAAGTCGGGCCAGTCAAAAAGTCAGAAAGTCACAGATGTCAGTCAGATGTCAGCCCAGTTAAAGCAGTCAAAAGTCAGTCATCACCCAGTCAATAGTCGGGTCGTCAGCAAAGAAAGTCGGGAAAGTCAGTAAGTCAGACATTCGGGCAAAAAAGGGTCGGTCAGTCAAAAAAGTCTTCAATAGTCGTCATTTTTAGAAAGTAAAGTCAAAATGTCGTCAGTTAAAAAGTCGCAGATTCAGTTTTTTTTAAAAAAGTCAGTCAGATAGTCAGGGCCGTTGCCCGTTTCAGAAAGCCCAAAAAGGTCGTCAATGGGTCAGACAGTTAACGGGCCAGTTAAAAAGTCAAAAGGGGGTTTTTTAAAGATAGTCAAAAAAGATAGTCGTCGTTAAAAGCCCAGTCAGTCAGTCGGGACTTCAGTAAAAAAGTGGGGTCAGTCAAAAAAGCCCTTCAGCCCAGTCAGATAGTCATTTCCAGATAGTCACAGTTAAAAAAGTCATCAGAAAGCATTTCAGTAAAAAAGTCAGCAGTCAGTAAAGACAGCCCACCCAAAAAGTCAGCCCAAGTCAGTCGACAGTCAGTAAAAAGTCTTTCAGTCAAAAAGTCAGTCAGCCCGTCAGACAGTCAGCGAAAGTCATTCAGTCAGCCCAGACAGTAGTCAGACATCAGTCAGACAGTCGTCAAATAGTCATTCAGTTAAAAAGTGTCAATGGGTCAGTAAAGTTAGAAGCCCGTCAGATAGTAAACAGTTAGACAGCTGTCAAAAAAGTCAGTAAGTCAAAAGTCAGTCAAATAGTCATTTCAGTTAGAAAGTAATTTCAGATAGTCGTCAGTTAAAAAAGTCATTTCAGATAGTCTCATTTAAAAAGGTCAGTTAGATATCAGCAGTTAAAACAGTCAGTCAAAAAGTCAGAAAATTCAGTAAATAGTCAGACATTTTTAGACAGTCGGGTTGGGAAAGGTAAAAGTGGGTTTCGATGGGCACCCAGTTTAGTCATTTCGGGTTGGGAAAAAGTCGCCCAGTCAGTCAGACAGCCCAGTCAAAAGTCGTCAGCAAAAATTTCATCATCGGGTCAGATAGTCAGTCAATGGTCAATATCAGTCAGTTGAAAGTCGGGTCAGAAGTCAGTCAGTCAAAAAGGGAAGAAAGACATTCGGGTTTAAAAATTCCCCGTCAGTCAGTCGGGCAGATAGTCATTCCAGAAAGTCAGCATCGGACAGTCAGCCCAAAAGTCATCAGCCCAAAAAGTCAGCCCAGATAGTATCATTGAAAGTCAGCCCGATGTAAAGTTTTTTAGAAAGTCGTCAATAGCCCGTCATTAAAAGGGTCATTTGATGTAAATTTTTTAACAGTCAGCAGAAAGTCAAAAGTCGTCGATAGTCGGGGACAGTTAGCCCTCAGTTAGAAAGTCAAGTCAGTCGATATTCAGTCAGATAGTCATCATTTGGGAAGGGTCATTCAGTCAGTCAGACGGGGTCGTCAGAAAGTCAGAAATTTCAAAATTTCAGTCACAGTCAGTTTTCCCCAGTCAGATAGTAAATGCCCAGTCGTTGAAAGTCAGTCAAAAAGTCGTCAGCCCTTCAAAAATTTCAGTCAGCCCGCCCAACTTTAGCCCAGAAAGTCAGTCATTAGTCAGAAAGTCAGTCAAAAGTCATTTCAGTCACCCGACAGTCAGTCAGACAGTCGGGTCAAAAGGGTCAGTCAAATAGCCCTCATTTAAAAAAGTCAGTCAGTAGTCTTCATTAAAAAAGCAGTAAGATAGCCCGGACAGTTAGACAGTCTGTCGAAAGTCATCAGTCAAAAAGTCCATTCCAAATAGCCCTTCAGTTGGGGAAAGTCAGCCCAGTAGTAAAGTCATTTTAAAAAGCCCGTAAGATGCAGTCATTTTAGAAAGTCATAAAATAGTCGGGACAGTTAGACTTCGTCAGAAAGTCGAAAGTCAGTCAGATGTCAGCATTTAGACGTCTTTTAGAAAGCCCAAAGTCGGTCAGATATTCAGCCCGATGGGGCAGCCCTTTGGGAAATTCGGGTCAGTCAGCCCAGACAGTGTTCAGAAACCCGTCGTCAGAAAGTCAGTCAGTCATCGGGAATGTCGGGCAGATATAAATTTAGCCCGTCAGTTAGAAAGTCAGTCAAAAAGGGTCAGTCAGTCAGAAAGTAAAAAGACATTTCGATAAAAATTTTCATTTCGACAGCAGTCAGTTAAAAAAGGTTCAGTCGTTGGGAAGTAAAAAAACGAAAGTCAGCGGCCCGTCATTTTGGGAAAGTCAAAGTTGTAAAGATAGTCAGAAGATAGTCAGTCAGTTAGAAAGCCCGTCAAAAGTCAAAAAGGACATAAAGATAGTCAGTCATTTTAAAAAAGTCAGTCGTCGGTCGGGACAATCAGTCGAAATCATTCAGAAGTAAAGTCAGTTAGAAAGCCCACCCGATAGTCATTTCTTTAAAAAAGTCACCCAGTCGGGTTTAGTGTCAGTCAAAAAGTCAGTCCCCGGGAAAGTCATCAGTCAGTCAGTCCCAGTCAGTCAAAAAGGGCCCGCCCGGTCAGAAAGCCCTTTAAAGTCGGGCCATTAAAGTTGAAAGTCAGTAAAGCAGAAAGTCAGTAAATTATCAGTCAGTTGAAAGTCAGTAAATATTTCCGGGTCATTAGGAATAGTCGGGAATTTCAGCCCGTTAAAAAGTCTTCTAAAGTAAAAAGTCGCCCCGGGTATTTCCGGGTTCGGGGTTAAAAAAGCCCGTCAGATGTCAGTCATTTTAAAAAGTCGTCAGTCAAAAAGTCATCGGCCCTTCAGACTGTCATAAAGAAAGTTCAGCCCGGTAAGAAAGTGTCAGCAGACAGTCGTCAGAAATTTGGGTCAGCAGAAAGCATTCGGATGGGGCCTTTCATTTGGAAATTCTTCATTTAAAAAAGTCTTTCGATAGCCCGCCCGTTAAAAACGGTCAGTCAGTT